TGACCCATTAACTTGTTAACCATTCAATGGTGACTAAGATATGCATGAAGAGAGTCAAGGGTGCTGTAGGAGTTAATCCTAAGAGATTTTGAGTCAAGGGGTTGAAGCTTTGAGCATATAGATGACGTTAGAGAGGGTTTTGACCCCTAAAAATGGGTTGGCTAAGTCAAACCTAGGGAGGATTGACTTGAAAGTTTTTGTACATGTCATGGGTGTCCAATTGAATGATTTTGAGAGGTTAATTAAATTTTAAATGGGATGAATGATTGAATTTGACAAGTGTTGGGTTAAAGGTTAATTTAGTCAACCATGGTTGACTTGGTCAACCTAGTCAAACTATGGGTTGAGTTTGGGTCAAACAAGTTCAAATTAGTATTTTGGGATCAATGGAGTGTTATGAATTGATCCAGGGATTATAATTTTGATGATAACAAATATTTCTAACACCTCTATTTTGATGACTGCCTTTTCTACTAACATTTTAGGTCCACAAGATCAAATTGCAAATCAAGTCAGCTCAAGATTGGATAGATTAGGACTGAGTTAGTCTATAAGTGTATGTCAAGAGTATTTTCCTTATCTTGAGTCAATTGTAATAAAGTGGGTCTTGATGCTAAGTAACATTGCATACACACACTCAAGGGAAAAAATTTTGTCTGTTTAGAGTTTTCTATTTATGATTATATCGTCCGAGATGATCCAAAATCATCCTATACGATCAGTTAAAAATAGATACCCAAATTAGGGTATCCTGGTTAAGGCAGTCGTAATTAAGAAAAACATCATGGATGATATTGGCATCATCCTGGACGATATGCTCAAATTAGAAAGAATTAGCCGCCACCTCTTTTTAGGCATGTTTTATCTTTGGACATCATCTTGGATGATGCATTACAATTATGCCTAAATTAGTTTGGTAATTAAGCAAAATAATTAAGGTTTGATTGATCGATCATATCATCTTGGATGTCACAGGATCATCCAGGATGATCAATTAAAAAAACCTTAGTTTCTTCCTTGATGACCAGAATAATGTTTTAGACGATATATATTATTTTGCACTAATTATCTAGGACAATCCCAAATAGTCCTGTATGATTAGTTATTTTTCCATCATCCAGACATGCAATCAGGGCGATGTTTTGAATGATATTTGACATTTTGAACTATCCAGGACAATAATGAAATTAGCTTGGAGGATCTATTTAATTTTCCATCATCCATACATGCAATCAGGGCAATGTTTTGGATGATACTTAATAATTTTGAACTAATCGTACAGGATGATGTCCTATCATCCTGGACAATCAGAACAAATAAGTCCTTTAATCATCTAGACTCTCCCATATCATCCTGACTGATTGAACTAAATTTGTACTGATTGTATAGGACGATAGGACATTATCCTGGATGTTCTATATTGATTTGTTTCAATTAAGAGCAAATTTGAGGTTCTTATAATAAGACCTCTTATTTACCCAAGATTGCATCTTTTGCTACTGTCCTGACCTGAGATAACTAAGAGGAGAGGGAGAGCAAAAGAGAGAGAGAGAGAGAGAGAGAGAGAGAGAGAGGATCTTGTGAGGGGGAGTTTAAGGGTTTCACAAAGGTTGCTCCATCATCCTGTTGGTGGAATTTTGAAAACATATTTTAAAAATATTAGTTTTCTTTGGGGATTTTAAGATTAAGGTTGAGCTCTAATTCTAAGGTCGAATCAACTCGTTAGAAAGAGTATATCACCCCGGGGGACAAAGATAAACTTTCATAACAGTGTTCAGACTTAGAATTATGTAAACTCATCTTGAATATTATGATCGGGTCCTAAAGAGAACTTCATATGGCCCCGAAGGAACAAAGTAGAGTTCAGCTAAATACCCAATTACAATATTCAAGAAGTACGATCGTCGCATTCACATCCAAAGCCTTATCGAAGAAGGATGTATCTCCCCAAAGGGAAATGACACCATTCTAGGATAATTCTTCTAATGCAACGACGACGATCATTATTTAACTTTTCCCAAAGAAATCTAGTGAAGTTTTAAAATCAATTTTAAAATCAGGTGTGTGGGGTTCCAAACCTCCTACGAGCGCAAGCCCTCGTAGTTAATTACATCGTAGGGAGAATAAGTCCCCTACGAAAACTCTCGATTAGAATAAGAATGAAATTTTGTTAGATTTTCTATGAGTGATATCAAAGCATGAATAGAATTATTGGAAAATCAAAAGGGAATGAATCAAGATTGAGCAGTTATTAACAGATTCAAAGGAAGAGAGGTAGGGGACACTTTGAGATACCAGAACCTTCCGGAAGTGTCCCAACTTAATCTAAATGTTGGGCTTTATATTTTAGGA